AGACTATGTTTTATTTGTTTCACTACTTACGGCTTAGTACTCTTTTAAAATGCATGGGAGAAATTCAAATTCCCTTTTTACGAATTTAGCATCTAATTTCTTTCCAGATATCGATGGAGGGTTCACTGAGTGGAGTGAATGGTCTGAGTGCTCGGCGACATGTGGTGGAGGAACCCATCAACGTTCTAGGACTTGCACCAATCCACCTCCAAAAAATGATGGAAAACCTTGCAGTGAACAGGTCAACCTTGGTCCCCCTAAAGAAACCGAAAACTGCAACACTCAGGACTGTCGTAAGACCTGAATTCTCTTTTATTATTATTTAAATCGTTGGTAGTGTTGTGAAACAGTCTTACCAGAAATTTTGTTTTTTATAACGATTGAGCATTAAAAGCCAATTGAAATTTTGCAAGTAAAGTAAACCGACAAACCCTTTTCATTGCTACGATCTTTTCTTTTGTGTTTTTCTTGCATTTAACATTCCTTTTCAACGCATTAAGTGATGGGCCTAATTCACTTTTTTTTAGCGGTGCCGGGTGGTTACATTAGCTGGTCTAAATGGGCTGAATGTAGCGTGACGTGTGGTGGAGGAGTTCAGAAACGCTCAAGGACCTGTACTAATCCCCCTCCTTCCGGGGGTGGACCAACCTGCATCGAGCAAAACCTGGGACCCGCCAAGGAAACCCAAGAATGTAACTCAAACGATTGTCGTAAGTATTACTTTTGGAGCATTAGTCTACAGTTTACTATCAATCAATAGCACGCCATTCGTTTTCTTTTTTTTTTTCTATTTCCTCTCAGCGGTGCCTGGCGGATACTCTGAATGGTCAAACTGGGGAGAATGCACTGTGACTTGTGGTGGAGGAGTTCAGAAACGTTCAAGGACCTGCACCAATCCCCCTCCGTCTGATGGTGGGCCAACGTGCATCGAGCAAAACCTGGGACCAGCTGAGGAAACCCAGGAGTGTAACGCGCGAGACTGTGGTAAGCCATTTCCAGTCGACGACTATATTCAGAAACTAGAAGCGGTGGGAGAGTATACTTTGGCATCATTGTATTTTTCTATGTGTCATGGATGTTTGAGTGGTCAGTACTTTTTTTAATGTTAAGTCTTATTGGATGTGGTTTGGTATAAAAATGGTAGCATCGGAATTCGTAATAACATACATTTATAAATTGGCTCACCCAATAGTGAATACGGTTGAAGAAATATATATGTTATAGCCTACGAGAGAAAAGAGGAGAAGTGCTAATTATCACTTATTGGCTTTACTTGCCAACAAACAAAGAAACTTTCTAAGATTGTTCTGGTTTGCCGCTGCAAAAGTTATACAGTTAGATGTGGCGTTAGCTGGGTATAATGTACTATGACTTGTATAAGTCAAGTGCGTAATAAAATGATTGACATTTAATGCTTCAATTTTGTTTTCCTTGCCAAACATTGTAAGTCATGATGAAAACTTCGTTTATTCTCTATTGGAACAAAATAGGTGAAGATGGCAACTGGTCTCCATGGAGTGGTCCTGGACCCTGTGATAAGACTTGTGGAGGCGGTGTGCAAGTAAGAAACAGAACCTGTACAAATCCACCACCTTCTGGTGATGGCAAGAAATGTGAAGGACCAAGCACAAAAACGGAGAGCTGTAACACACAGACATGTAAGAAAATCATTCCTTTGCTACTCTACAACAATTACCGCTGTCATTGGTCATTTTAAATTTATTTCTTAAATCTTAACGTCATATCGTGTTATTGTCGTCTTCTTTTAGGTCCTCCTCCCCCACCTCCGCCATGCAAGGAATATTTGGATGTTGGCGTGATTATAGACTCGTCAAACAGTATCCATCCAACTGATTATGGAAAAGCAAAATCCTTCTTACAAGGGCTCGTGAGTAGACTTGAAATATCCGAGCCCGGTACGCACATGGCAATTCTTCTGTACAGCTGGGAAGCACATACTTTTTACAGGTTCGTTTACAGCACACGGCGTTATTAATTTGCTATACTGGAAATGTCATGTTCAATTTGAATATGAAATAATTGGCTTGCCACTTTCAATTATAGAAATTTAAGCGATTGCAAATTAACCGACAAAAATTTCGAGAGTTCTACGAGATTCGAACCCATGGCCTCTTTTGCTTCATTTAAAGGTTTAAAGATCCACAAAGTGTCGGGGAATTAAAGAGGAAAATTGTCGAGCTACCACATATTCGAGGTGGAACAAGGACTGATAGGGCCCTGGAACTAGCAGCAGAAGACTTCTTTGGATGGCAGGAGACTGGAGACAGACCGGATATACCGAATGTGTTGCTTGTCCTCACTGATGGGAACACAAATGAAGGCAGCAAACCATTTTCTCAAGTTCTGCCTCCATTAAAGGTCATTTCAATTACTAAATTATTGTAGGAGCAGTTTATTTTATTTTTTTCGGTGAATGAATAGTTTTCCGGCACCTCAATATGGATTTTACCATCTTGTTGAATGTTATCGTAAGCGACTTGAGTAAACTTTCTCTCAGTTTCAAGACAAAAACATAACTGTGAGGTAAAAAAATAGAGTCACGTAGACACTGACTCGTACTGGTTTGAGCACACGCTACAAAAAAAAAATTGGAGTCAACTTCTGCATTGATCGCTTTAAGGTATCAGCCACCCTTCAGGACCGTCCGCGCGCGGATCGCTGTAGCGTTCGTTGTTTTTATAAAAATCCTTATAAACCATATATTTTTTAAAAGCTTAATAATTCCAGATTATGAATTTGAACTAACAAAAACGATTTACTTAAATGTGTTTCGAAATTGGAACGCTTTGTGTAAAAGTACACGTCTCTATAAATCATGTTCCACTCCCGCCGGAAATAAACGGAAGAAAACAATTAACACCGCATTCGCTTCTCAACACGTTCCACTAAAAAACCGTGTCTCAGATTTTTGACAAGTGCGTTTGTTTTTCTTTTATTAGCAAATGAAGTTGGGAAAGGCAATTAGTCAACACTCCCTGTGGAAAAAAAGCTCTAGCTTTAAAATTAAAAGGAGTATTAAAATTCGCAGACACGGTTTTGTAGAAGAGGTATATGGCATCACTCTGGCCAAATTTTAGCCAAATTGATTGAAAGGCTGCCGACTTGGAGTTCAAAACGTACGAGTCGATCGGCAAAATTTGCGTTCGGAGATAAAATAGAAAATACATTTTTGGCGGCATCCTACCTGGAATGAGATTATAACACCTAAATGTTTATTCTGATTGATATCAGAGAGGGATCAATTTTCTCTAACAATAGGACTTTGACAGGTAACATGTAACAGCAACAAACTTTCGCGGCAAGCAAGTGAACAGTTTAATTCTCCCTTGGAAAACTTCTACTCTTTTACACCACGAGAAGCACGGTTTAATTCTTTCTCGAGCAAAAGTTTTGCCTCTCCTTCGATCTTTTTTGTATGATCCGCCCAGGCATTTTTGTTGATCGGCTCCAGGCCAAGGAAACTAAAAACTTTGAAGCCGCCGAATGTCCACCACCGATTGCTCGAAGGCCAAGAACTGAGGCCCGGTTTATTTCAAACGCTCTGCTCTTCTCGGAAGAATTAAAAACAGAATTTGTCTTGTGCGAAGGACAGCTTTCATTCTCGCACTGGATTCTCCAGGTAGAACCAAGTCCATGCTTAGTCGCTACATTTTCCATGACGTGGACTCTTCCCTGCCAAAATCGACAAGATACCAACTCATCCAGTTTCTCAAGCAGCTTTTCGCTCGATACGATAGCTCGACCGCTTATTGTTTTCCACGTTCCATCAGCAGATGGGGTCGATGAGCTTAATTGGCTTTCTTCATCTGGTTCTTCAAGCTGGATTTTGGAGCAGCTTGCACTCTCAGTAACTGCAGCATTTTCGCTTTTCTGAATATCCAACTCCTCGAGCCACTTCTCTTGCTGATAAAATGAGCCCTTATCGCTCTCTGCCAATTTTGCGGCTCATTCTTTGTCAAACTCGCTCTTCGATTTCTTTTTCGTTCTCGGTTTCGATGACGAAAACGGACACGACCTTTTCTTTTTTTTTGGAGGCATTTTTACCGAAGCAAACGCTAAATATCCACGGAGAATAATACTGTAAAGGCTGTAAACAACCCGTGTTGTGTCGAAGCACGCACTCGGTATCACGTTACTAGTTCACAGGCAAGTTAATTGATCTATGACACGGGTATGACAGATCTTGTCAACGATCAATAAAGATAATTAACGAGAAAAAATCTTTTACCCCCGATATCTTTCGACAGAAATAATATTTTCTTCTGATTTTTTTTTAAAAGAAAGCTCTCAAGCATACCTATTTGAAAACGTTGAAACCTCAAATATGGGAAAATGGCAATTTTAAGGGTGGCTGATACCTTAACCATGGATAATAGAAAGACCCAGTCTTTCTATTATCCATGCTTTGACGATGTTATCAAACAATTAGTTCATGCTTCAGCTGTACGTATGTGGAGATATTGAGCACTTGGGAAGTTTGGAGAGCACTCAAGAGGCTAGAGTTGCTTTCGGCTGCTCCTCGAGCGACTCTTACGCCTCTTTCGTGCTCTCCAAACTTTCCGCGGGCTCAATATCTCGACATACGCACGGTGACGCATGAACTAATTGTTAAATTAAGTACAGAAAGTTGAAATTTGATTGATTTTCAGGCTCAGGTGAGTTCAGTTAAGGACGTCTGTCAGAATAATCGACAACTCCTTTATTTATTTATTTATTTATTTATTTATTTTTTGATGAGGATAAAGAATATACAAAAAGACGTAAGTTTAAATTACAAACAGCAATTCTGATTTCAGGTTCATTCACGCGGCATACTCATACTCCAAGAAACCACAAGAAACAAAAGCCCAATAGCAAAATCCAAAATTATTGACTGACAACCAAAAGATGATCATGAAAATGTCTTGAAACAAAAGCAATTTTCTAATTTCATAAAACCTCTTTGAAGAAGTAGTGTCTTTAAAGTATTGCGGAAAATGTTTTTAAAACCTTGTTTTCTGTTTGTTTGTAAGCTTATTTTTAATAGCCGGCTTTGTCTTTGGAAGGCAAATACTAGGTGAACTTACCCTGCTTAAAGTCTTTTTTTTTTTTACAACCAACACGACAAATAAGTTTCCTTTAGAACTTTCATTTTAATCAATTCAGTCGTAAACTGTTTTTAAAAAGCTTGTGTTTTTTAAACACTAGGCCATACATCGTCTCAAATTTATCCTACAAGTCACCGTGTAAGAAACTTAAAATAATTAAGCTTAAACGGGAAAAAATGCAATAACTGAAAGTCACCTCCTGAAATCTAGTAGGTGAGGTAATTAGAAACGCTTTAGTTTTCTCCGTTACTCTGCTGTAAAAGCCTGCATGAACTACAAAAATAGCCATTGATGAAACCACAGTTGCGACGCTTTCCTCAATCAAAACCCAAATAAACAAAACACAACAATGCAAAGGAATCTTGTTAGAAGTTGTATTTGTCAGTAGACCTGCCGTATTTCTTTCCGTGCGGCAGTAGAAAAACATGAAAAGTTAAAAACGTAAAGTGACAAAAGGCTTTCTAGCTTCTGCGTTTGTATCCATCAATATTTTTCGCCTGTCAAAATTTAGACCAATCTTGGACGAGGTTGTCATTTGTAGGCGGGAACAGGGAGCTGTGACAAACGGAAGTCAAATTTTTGCATGTACATTATTAACAAGTAATCATATGATTTTTCTCGTGCAATTGTGGATAAATCAGCACTCGAAAATTTTTCAAAGACCACAAACTGCACTCGCTCTTTTTAGTCTTTGAAAAATTTTCTTTTCTCCAATTTGTCCCAAATTGCTCTCGAAATCATGTGATTACCTTTACAAATTATTTTATCTTCAAATTTAAAGCTTGCCGGAGTTAGGCGAATCGCTATCGGCATCGGGAAAGGGATTGGTTATGGTGAACTTAAAGAAATTGCTGGCAGTGATGAGAATGTCATTCAAGTACATTCGTACAGTGACCTTATCAGCAGACTGGAGAAAATCATGAAAATGGCATGTGACCACCAAGCCCTAGGTACATTTCGATAAAAGTCTTTATAATCAGTATACCTCAATAATTAAAAGGCTTTGGATCTGAAAGAATGAAAAGCGGGAAACACACGTGTAAGAGAATCCAAGACAGTCGGCTTCTAGACAGGTTCCACGCTGTAGATTTCGGGTTACAGCCGAGTATTGGTATCCTGATTCTTTGAGAGTGGAAATTGGATTCTGAATTCCAATTCTTAGTGGGATTCCTGATTCCTTGAGATTTATCCCAAATTCTAAAGCCCCGGATTCCACAACCTAAAATTCCCCGCATTCCAGAATCCCCATTCCCTCGCATGGGACAAAACAACCAAGATTCAAATAGTAGTTGCCAATATATGTTTTAGCCCGCGGGAGGGAGTAGTACCTTATTTGACCGGGACAGGAGCCCATAAACTGAAGCAAACAACTTCCATACCCTCGTGTCACAGCGTTTTACAGACCACTCTCTTTTCAGAAAGGTTTTGGCGTGACTTTTGAATATCTTTTGAATTCCATAAATCAGTCAGCAAAACCTACAGACCTAACAATGATATTTTTCCCTTTTAATAACGTTTTTAGTTTTTTTTCCTTTTTAATATCTTATACTTCGAATGCGATCATAAACATGGTGGAGTTTCTATTTTCCGGGAAAAAGTGTCTTAAAATGTGTCTAAAAATAAACCTATCCGTAAAATCGCCGTGACATAGGCCTAGTGCGGGAGTTTGTAACTCCGGATTATGGGCTCCTGGCCTGGGCGGATATGTGACGCTGAACAGTATATCTTTTTGAGGGGTTTGAGTCTTTAACAGGGTATTGTTCAATTTCACTATATAGCGTCTTGAACAAAGTGTCTTTTTGGACCAGAAGCCTTAAAAAGAGCGTGAAGGTTGACGATGAACTGTCTAAGAAAGAAAGAAAGAACCTAATTCCTTGAAGTTACTTTTAAAAGATACTTAATTCTGTGTGGGAAACGAAATAAATCGGAGAAATGATACTGGTTCTCTTGTCTTAAACAGGGTAGCAAAATGAATGACTTTTGTCAGGGTTTGAAGGGTTCCAATCGGCGGAACACCTCTACTCATTCACTTTTTTGACTCCCCGCCCCCCTCCAGTTTTTAGGTAGTTCCATTCGGCTATTGTTTTTCATATAACATGACTATGAAGTTTCAAAACAACAGAAGCACCACGTTGTCTGAGGTTCCTTTTTCTGTTGTTATCTTTACTATTGATGCTATTTGTATTAAAACCAGCAAACGTCCCTCCCTTTTCACCTGTCATTTTGCGTAGGTTCCTGTGGTGCTTGGGGTTCCTGGGGAAGTTGTAGCAAGACTTGTGGATCCGGATTCAAGCTTCGCGAAAGAAAATGTCCAGAAAACAGTTTACATTTGGAAAAACAAAAAACCAGCTGTAATACTAATCTATGTCCAGGACAACGTAGGGAAGCGTAACCTAAACCATATTATTTCTTTGTCGATTTAATTAGACAGTGACTAGTCGTAAGTCGAACTAAGCTATCCATAGGGTGAGGCAATATATTAGAATAGAAGTTCTCATTGAGAAGGGAAGTGCTGCCGTGAGTTGCGATGCGAATAGGACAAAGACATTATGTAGAACAGTTGAACATATGAATTTTTTTCTTAAAGTCAATAACAAAGAATTATGATGCACTCAGAGTAAAATACAAAACATGAACCGATCACAATGACAAATATGCTTACATTCAGATACTAACTCGCCAAAGTTTCAACATGATTTTGTAATTCATTTTAACAACAGCAGTGCTGATAGACTGTTTCTTCATCGAACAATCATCGTGTACATGACGAGAAGAGTTGCGAACAAATAACGTAAAGGCCAAAACTTGTTTATTCACGGGTCAGGTAGACGTACAGTACATGCCGATCACAACTTACAATCCTGATTCCCGAGATAACAATCTGTGTGACAAAACATACTCGCTATAACTAATCTTGAAACCTAGCATTAAAAAAAGCCGAAAAAATGTCTCGTACAATAGTTCTTGAACTGTTCTTACCGTTTAGGCTGTTTAAAAAGACAGCAAACATCCGATGTACTACAACTTCCGCACAGATCTTAACCTCACATGAGAACAAAACAAAATGGCGGGTTGCTCTGAAGAGAAAAACAGGCGCGGCAGCTAAGCACTTGCTGATTGAACCATGGAACCATTGAACCATCGAACCATCGAACCATCGAACCATCGAACCATCGAACCAAAAATCTCAAATCGCTCAAGAATATGGTCTGCTACCGGCTGATGCCCGGCAGCAAAAAATGAAATGCAGGATATGTCAAATTTCTTTTGACCAAAAATATTTCGCAGTTGTTTGGCTATAAGAGTTGATATTTGTGTACTTAGATGGGTATATGCTGTTACACGACATCGTCATGTGTATGCTTTAACATTGACAATCAAGGGTGATGAAATTACTCCTCAATTTTGGCGGGAAAGTTAAGCGATAATTTATAATTTCACATGTGAAATTACAATATTGCCTTGGTAATGTTTCGTACGTCTCAGTACCAAGATGAGTCGGAGTTTTAAAACTTTATGAATAAGATGTCAGGGCTTTAAAAGACTCTCTAGAAACCTGCACACTCGAAAGCGCGCTTCCAAAGGGATTCTATTTTGTCCAAAAAATTCAGAAACTTGTAACTTAAGCTCTCGATACGATAAACAAGTAAAACAAACACAAAAAAAACAGTGTGCGTAATTTGTCACCGATGATATTAATAGGTAACACAATGGTAAGCTGGGAATTTACGGAAACAATTTCACCTGCATTTTGCACATGTTCTGATTATTTCCCTCGCCTAAAGGCTCTTCGTTAATAATCTTAACACCAAGAATTTAATATTTTTTTCATTATTAACTTTACTCAACATTACTAAGTGTTAATGTTCAGTCTTAACACTGGGATTTTCTTTTACTTTTGCTTGAGAAGAACCTTGTGAAGACAGTCCTAGTATGCAGTCAAAATGTCCATCAATGGCGGCCGCCGGACGTTGTTGGAAGAACGTCATAGGACGGTATAGGTATCGCCAAAAATTCACTCTTTGGGATTCATGCAGGAAAAGTTGCAACAGATGTTATGGTAAATATGAAAAATCCGTTAAACCATAAAAAAACGGCATAGGATGAGTGTGCATGGAGTATTTAAATGATGCTGTAAAATAAATCTTTTGTAATAAGAGTTAGGCCTTTATTGCCAGTGACCTCTCAATAGATTTTTATAGCCAGTCCTAAAGGCGAAGCGCCCGTTCATGTGTTTGTAATAAAGCAAGTAACTCAAATCCAACAGCCATGACAAACAGATTCGTAAATATATACTTAACTTAAGGAGCTTCTACCTAATATGTGAATTCGCTTTTCGATTTCTTGACACGCCATATTTTAGAAGTTAGACATCTAGCCCTCTGATGTGATCTTCTGGCCTTTGTAGAGACACCCTCGTTGTAGTGTGTTGGTATAGCAGGAGCTAGGCTCGAGTTATCGAGGGTTAGAGTTACCGATGCGAGGGTAACAATTACCATGATTACAGCAAATGTATTCAGTAAATACAGGGAAAACGATTTTGGTTCGAGTAAGTGCGAGGCTCGAGTTATCGCCAGTCGATCAGTACATCTTTTTTTTTTTTTACCACGGTTTTGCTGGCTGACTATTGACTGACTGTTTTGGGCCTTAAAAAGACGCTTCTTCTTTACAAGTTTTTTTTTATAAAAAAGCACTTTTTATCTTTCTTCATAAGTGGATCCCCAGTGCCAAGACAACGATCCATACTTATGTCCGTGGCAGACTGCTAAATTTCCACACCTTTGTCGGTGGATTTTTTATAAAGGTAAGTAAAAGTTGCAACTCTAACAATTGTGCCATACTCTGGAAAAATTCGAAACTAGTGAGAGCTAATTAAATATAATGCCGCAAATATTGAAAATTTTGAAACTATGGGAATTCCCAATCGGTTAAGATCATCAGAAAACTGAATCAAATACTGAAGTTGCTTCCAGTTGCCAAAAATCACCAAGAAGAAGGATTTTAATGGACGACTAACAGTGCAACTACTAACATGTATCTGGCTCTCAAAGTGCAAGAAAGTGGGCTATTGTGTGCAAAGTAGGTCCGAACTAAGACGTTTTCTTTCAGATTATATCGGGGCCCAATCCAGGCGTTATATATTTCACAAATGTAAAACTATTTTTGCTTTTGAAAAGAGGTTTCAATTTTAATTTATTTCCCGTAAATTTTACATTTGCAGCTAACAAATGGCCAAATTGCTTTAAAATTTATAGTACTGTGGCTTAGGGTCATTATATAATTCCTTGGGTTATACTCAGTGATATAAATTAACTAACTAGGACGTCACTGCCGTCGGCAATCAGTGGATGGACTTGAATAAAGTAAGCGATACTTTTCTCTCGTGTAAAGTGTGTCTGCTAGAACTTATTATCACTTATGTTTTCAGCCGTTTGCAAGAAAAGTTGTCGGACTTGTACTGTATCGACCGGTAAGTTTTAATGGCCACTGAATCATGTTGTTGTTGTTTGTTTCATGCTTGCCTCTTCTAGCTTAACCCTCAGGATGTGCAAATAAAGAGTGAGGGGTATATGACTGTGGGGGAGACGACGGCTGACATTTCAGACTACTACTGTATATCAATTACCAACTTAACATGATGTAACATGACTTAACATGACTGAATCCAGAAAGATTAAACAATAAGCCCTCGAGTAAAAATCAGATACCCACTCCCCAAACATCTTCATGCCGAGGTGGAAATATCATTTGCTTGAATTTTCTTCATATACGATTCTACAATTTCTTTCGTTTTTTTTTTTTTTTTTTTTTTTTTGACGAAGATGAGGGCAGTGGTTAACAAGTATTTGTTTTATTTTATTTCTTTTTTGGTAAGCGTCAACTATTACATAACACAGAGAAAAGTAAGACAAAGTCACGATAATAAGTATTTATTGAAACAATTAAATGCCTAATTAGATATCATAACAACAGTGAGCCAATTACAGTGGTCCCCGTGCTTAAACTATGTGTCAGTAACTTTTAAAACACTTAAGCTACGTATGACGAATAAAACAACAACGAAAAGGAAAAACACATTTATACGGGAAACGTTACATGACGGACAGATGGTTTTCCAGGATCCTGGATCCGGCTGGGTCCTCTGTGTCGTAGTTATGTTCTAAGGCGTCTTCATAGTATACTTATACGTGACGGATTTGAATTGACTGATGTGAAGGTTGCATATTGCATGAAAGGTGAAGGTTATTTGCTAAAGGTGGTCCAGATTCTGGTGGTTGTGTTAAAAAAAAAGTCTCTGAAAAGTGACAGTGTGTATATATGTTATACATAAAAATGTATATCTAGCCAGATTTTTGAAAACGTTACCGCCAAAAGGACCTTTTGCTTCCAACGTTGTTTTTTTTTTCCTTTTGTTTCTTTTTTGTTTGAGCCACAAAGTAGTCCAAAGTAGCCATTATAAAAACTAAGAGTGCAACCATTGCTTTTTCTCTCTGCTCCTCCTTTCCTTTTTCTTCGTTACTGTGATTTTGGAGGTCACCTGGCTCAAGAAAAAAGCCTTTGACACCTTTTCAATCGAATGACTGCAAATTAACTTTTAGCTACTTTTGTTATATTGAGGCATCTTCCCTGCCTTTTCAGACTGACTGATTAAAGACGGATGAGCATCAGAGAAGTGGAGGGGGTGGGAAAAAATCTATAATGTAATATTTGCGTTTCAATTTCTTGTCGTATTCAAGTTAAGCAAAAAACGCTGAAAAATGCACACATGGCGAAGCAAAAAGTTAATATGCAAAGCAGAAACTCCCCACTCCGTTCTTCACTTTGTAATGGTTCGTCCCTTGTTAATAAAATTAATCACAGGTGATTTTAGAGATTCCCACGCTCTTAAGGTGATGTTACATGGGACGATTCGCAACGACGATTTTTAGCGAAACACAGCGTTGTAATGTTGGGACAACGTCGTAGCCGTTGGAAACGATGTTGCAACACGCTATAGCGCTAAAAATCGTCTTTGCGCATCGTCTCATGAAACATCACCTTTAAAGTTGGCAAAAGGAAACTTTTAAACCACGTTCATTAGGCTGGGTACAGAAACAGAGCCAATTTACAGAAATTAACTGTTCACGTGTGAGCAATGAAGTAAAAAGCTTGATTATGGTTCTTCAACAAGAAATGATCGAATTCTTTGCTTGTCCTTTTAAATGAATGAAAATCATTCAACGCTCTCTACCAAAATGGTTAACAGTTTAAATTAACAAAACTTACAGCCGTTCACTACTACCGTATTTGAGGCCGTTTTAACTAATTGAAAACAAAGAAAAGGTGGGACCATACCGCATGGTCCACAAAAGAATGGTAGTAGCACATAAAAGATTTCCGCAGTCGATCGTT